TGCCTAACCAAAAAAAAAAGGGTAACTGTTAATACCTCTATTATCTCCTCTTTGCTTTTTTGTGACTATATCAACTGAATTGGGGTGGGGGAATCATATCCACCACCACCCCTTATGCTATACTTACAAAAGGCCAGAGTGGTTAACAAAAGGAACCCCTGGAATATTCTTCTCTCATCTCACCAGGAGTTCAAATGGCTGAGCTCCCTAACCTTGGACCTGACAATAGTCACCTAGCCAAAATTTGTAGTCAGTTCTTCAGGTCATAGAATCACAGACTCTCAAGGTGGGAAAGGACTTCCAACGTCATCTAGTTCAACCCTCTACAACTTTCTCTGCCTTTCTCCTGTGCATAATGTCTCATCTTTTTCTCTTACTACTTTTCCTTTGTCTTTCTTACTATCCCTCAGCCATAAGCTAAACAGAAGCTAGGCAGCACATACCCCCGAGTCAGGTGGACCCGAGTTCAAATCCAGCCTCAGATACTTACTAGCTGTGTGGCCCTGGGCAAGTCACTTCTACCACCCCAGGAATTTCCTTGAGAACAGGGACTGTCATTTTTCATCTACGTATTTCCAGGCCCCTAGCATGGCATATATTTGTCATTTTATTGCTTTAAGGAGGAAAATCTGCATCCAAATGTGACACCGATAAGTGAGACACTTTAGAGGACAAATTTTAACACAACCAAGTGTGAGATTTTCGGTTACCAAAGAAAAAGGGACTCTGAAGATGTAAGAAGAGAAGATTGTCTCCAAGTCAAATGCTCTGTCTCTAAACTTCCTTCTTCAAGTTCATACCAGGCAGCATCTCCCTTCTCTGCCTTCCTAGCCCTGAAATTATTACTCAAATGCAGGCTTTGGTCTTTGGGCAGCCTTACAAAATGCTAAGAGCGCCAAAGCCAAAAAAAGAAACAGAGAAAGAAACCAAGCACTAGTTACTGGAAACATCATTCTCCTGGGTTATGAGAAAATGCTTTATGTATTTTTAAAAAATTTAAAGTGTTGTGATTTTAAAAAAAATGTTTGTGGCTATTCAGTCCCTTCAGTCATGTCTGACTCTTTGTGACCCCATTTGGCATTTTCTTGGCAGAGATACTGGAGTGGTTTGCCGTTTCCTTCTTCAGCTCATTTGACAGATGAGGAAAGTGAGGCAAACAGGGTTAAATGACTTGCCCAGGGTTACACAGCTAGTAGGTGTCTGAGGCCACATTTGGTGGAGGCATTTAAAGTGTGATGATGATTGCTACAGTAGAGACTGGGGAATTGGGAAGCCCAAAGAGGGTAGATTGGGATACAGAAGACTGTGATACTGATATTTTTTTTTGGTGGGGGGAGGGACCTAGAGAGCCAAAGATTATGGCAGCAAGTATCTGGACAGTATGGAGTGAGCTTTAAAGGAGGAGGAGACATATGAGTGATAGCGACAGAGGGAGGGTCTGAAAATGGCAGTGGCAAGCATGAAGTAGGCCGGCTTCCCATCCCTGAGCACCAGAGGGTGTGAGAGAAGGAATAGCCTGGGAGGGAGTGCCAAGAAATGGGGGGGGTCAGGGTATGGAAATCTAACTTACCCCACAGGAAAATAAGGGGGAAGGGAACAAGAGAGCAGGGGGTTGATAGAGGGGAGGGCATAATCAAAAGCAAACACTTCTGAGGAGGGACAGGGTCAAAAGAGAGAATAGAATAAATAGGGGATAGGATAGGATGAAGGGAAATATACTTAGTTTTTCACAACAGGAATACTATGGAAGTGTTCTGCATGACTACACATCTATAACCTGTACCAAGATGCTTGCCTTTTCAGTGAGGGTGGGTGGGGAGAGGAAGGGAGAAAATTTATAACCCAAAGTTTTAAAAACACATGTTAAAAATAAAAAAAAATTTAAAAAAAGAAAGGTAAACGTCAGTGAGCCCCAGATAATAGAAGGTAGATGAGGAGAATCTAGGATGAAGAGGAATTTGTTATTAACAGAAGAAGGTTTGAGAGAATGCACTGAAAAGAGAAGGGAACAAGTATTTATTAAGCATCTACTATGTACCAGGTACTTTACAAATATCTCATTTGATTCTCACAACAACTCTGGGAGGGAAGTGCTATCATGATTCCCATTTTACAGTTTAGAAAACTGAGGCAGACAGAGGTGAAATGAGTTACTTAGGACCATACAGCTAGTAAGTGTCTGAGGCTGGATCTGAACTCAGGTTTTCACCTTTCCAGACTTAGTATTATTATATCCACTGTGCCCCTGGCTGCTACTAACTCTGATTTCTGTTTTGTTATCAGTTTGGATAAATGGATTTATCTGCTATTTGCTATGTGCATTCACTGTGGAACTGGCATTTCGTGGAAAGGGAGTCAAACCTTGGATAAACAGCTTGGGGTCCTTCTTTCCCATTAAGGAATAATAATCAGAAGCATAGCTTGAACCTAAAAATTAACTTCCATAAGCCAAAGAGTAGCTAGGTGGGACAGTGGATAGAAAGCAGGGCCTGGAGTCAGGAAGACTCCTCTTCCTGAGTTCACCTCTGGTTTCAGACACTTAATAACTGTGTGACCCCGGGCAAGTCACTTAACCCTGTTTGCCTCAGTTTCTCATCTGTAAAATGAGCTGGAGAAGGAAATGGCAAACCACTCCAGTATCTCTGTGAAGAAAACCCCAAATGGGGTCACAGAGAGTTGGGCGTGACTGAAACACCAACAACAATAACATTTATGGGAGTAGAGAGACCTAATTCTAGCCCAGTACCTCTTCTCTCTGCAGAGAAGCCTCTGGCCCCATCCTCTTGCTTACGCTCCTGGCAGGAATCAAAGGCTTCTTTGGGAAAGAAGGGGGAGGAGATGCTTCTAGAAATATCTACTCTTGCCTCCCTTTGAACCATATGTGGACAGACCCATGTGGACACACCTAACCTACACGGGCAAAAGCAAACTCACACACACACACACACACACACACACACACACACACACACACACCCCCTTTACGTGCATGGGCCATATAGAACCTACATGGGCAAAACAAGAAACCAAATGACCATCCCACGCCCCCCCCAACATGAGTTCATATTGTAGGTTCCTTCTTTTCAATAACAAACAAATATAACATACACAGGACATTCACATATAATTCTCAGGTTTCATCTATATGACCTTTCCTCAAAACAAAAATACAAGAAATAAATGAAAGGCTATTTGAGGAGGGGAAAATGAGGAGGACGAATACTTGGGTTGATCAAAGGGCCAACCTGGTGGTTGGCACACTTCCTGCTTCCTATTGGCATTCCTGAAGACCCTCCCTCTGCCACCTTTAGAGCTCCCTTCGTAGTTTGAAGGAAAATAAGGATTCTAGGACAGGGGGATGGTAGAGAAAGGAATTGGAATACTGAGCTTGGCCAACAACTTGTTGCAGTCACCTGACCTGACCTGGTGTTGACAGAGGATTTATTTATTTATTTATTTTTAACTTTTTTTTTTTTTTAAATTTTGAGTTCCAAATTCTTTCCACCCCCCAGCCTCTCTCCCACCTGTTGAGAAAGCAAACAATATGAAACCTATTATACACGCAAAGTCATAAAAAACATTTCCACGTTAGCCATGTTGCCAAAAAAAAAGCAAGAAAAATAAAGTGAAAAAATACGCTTAAATTTACACTCAGAGTTCATCAGTTCCTTCTCTGGAGGTGGATTGCATTTTTCATCCTGGGTCCTTTGGAATTGACTTGGAGCATCCTCTTGATCAGAATAGCTGAGTCATTCACAGTTGATCTGTGGTTGTGCACAAGACAAGCCCCACAGCTGGCTAATTTGGGGAGGGTGGGATGTGACCCATCTTCCCACTCTCTGATTTGTTGATCACATACCACTTGGGGTCAGGCCACAGGCTCCCCGCCAAAGGATTGGGGTCCCCACTTTGGAGAATACTGATGTAATCTTCCAAAGTCATCTTACAATGACTCACTGCAGCATTTTGGAAAGCTAGTATATCAGAGGAAATGCTCTACAGGTCCCAAGAGGCAGTGTGGCCCAATGGACTTGGAACCAGGAAAACCTGGATTCAAATCCTTCCTCAAATGGACAAGACACTTAAAACGCTCTTCTAAGCCTCAGTTTTCTGATCTGTAAAATAGGGGTAATAATAGGAGTGTGTCAAATCTCAAATAACATAATGTATACAAAGCACTATATACATATCAGTCATTTTTACAAAATTGGGAAGACTTCCAAGGGCAGACAAGGGTAAACTGCATCTGTCCTGTCCAAGGCTCAACCTACTTAAGTTCCAAAAGGATCATTAAAAGAGGTTTGGCTGCCAAGAAATTAATTGGTTTGACCACATCTTTTTAAATTGTTAATTAAGGCAGAGAGAAAAAGTCATATCCTATTAGCAGAAGTATCCACATGGATGGAATAAATCACAGGTCTCTGAACTTTTTAAATGTCCTCCTTATATCTACAGTCTCCTAAGAGAATGCTGAAAAAAACACTTAGGTCCAAGCTGACCTTGATGTTTAATTCCACTACAAAAGTATCCCTATCCTACCCAAGAACCGTAACAGACTAGTCCTATGGCAAGTGCTTAATAAACCATAAAACCAAACTGTCAAAGTAGGGAGTATGGAAAATAGAGTTCTGGAAGACCCGAGTTCAAATCCTGTCTCAGACAGTCACTAGCCTTGTGACTCTGGCCAAGTCACTTAATCCTTCTGAGCCTCAGTTTCCTTATCTGTAAAATGAGGTGTTTGGGCTCCATGGCCTCTAAAGTCTCTCCTAGTTCTAAACCTACGCTCCTAGATCTATTCCAGTTTTCATCTTCATCTTCATCATTATCATTCCATAAGAACGAACTCCGAGGCGTGCCGGCATTACTTTACTGGAATGGAATTTCCTTCGAGGGAGAAACTTGGGCATCTAACCTGAAGCAAAACGCCCAAGTAACAGATGTTTACCTCCTTAAGCACCCAAACTTCAGCATTTCAGACATTTTACATGGAAATCACTTACAAACATATTGCCCAAGCTCTGTGACACACAGGCGGACGTTTCAGAGAGGCAGGTTTCAGCCCTGTATCAGGAAGGAATCTCCTCGCGACTGGAGTAGTCTAAAAGTGAAACTAGCCACAGCGGCGGGGGAGAGTGGGGGATGGGGGTGGTTGTTCTGGTTCCAGGTCCGGTCTTCTTTCATCCGGGCTCTTTCCGCATAGCAGAGGTTGTCAGAGGGGTAGCTGCCAGACAATAGAGGGATTAGATAATGAATTTCATTTGAATTAATTCAATTCAAGCAATATTTATCAAGTGCCTGTTATGTGGAAGGCTCTGTCCAAGGCATAATGAATATGTCTAGGAGTAAGTGGCTGGTCCACTGGATCTCGGAAACTTTGTGTTAAAGAATGAATTATGTTTGTTGTGAAGGATTGGGGCGTTAGCTTCAGGGTGAGAGGGAGAGGAGCCAGGCTGCAGGGGAAGCAATGATTCTCCAGGGACGGGGACAGGAGTTTTTGCAGGTCAGCATCCCTCAGGTAACCAGGAAGTGTTGATGGTTGGGAAGATACCAGATTCCACCTTCCTCTGTGCACTTAGCTCCCAAGCACTGTCTAAGGAGGCTGGGGCACCTGAGGGAACCCTGGGGCTTGTCCTGCCCAGTCAGCGGTATAGACTCCTCTTCAAATCATTTTGAACCCCAACACCTGAGTATCTCAGTATGGGGATTATAAAAGGGAAGAGAATACTGGAGGATCGTAGGAAAGTTTAGATCAGCCTTCCCCATCTGGCAAAAGGAGGGGAGGGGTAGCTATTGCAGACTAGCAGTGGCCCTAACAGCCCTGTGCTCATGGGCACCTTGCAACCCACCCCTCTGGGCAAGGCCTGGGAGTATCATCCAGGTTCAATACATTCTACCCACCCTGGCCCAGCAGCTGCAAACGGAATCAGCCTCAGTAAATTCTGCAGCTGTGGGGAGGGGAGAGGTAGATGGGTCAGAACTACGATTAGATTCCCTAAGCCCTGCCACCAAGAATTATCACCACTGGGAAGACCCTGGCACCAGCCACCCAAACCCCTGGCAAGGCCTGGCAATAGCATTATGAGGTGAGAAGCCAACTTCTGCTCTTGGTAAGCCAGTTGTAGAAATGTGTCAACTTTGTAATTTATGGCAAGCCGTTTGTCCTGTTTCCTGATTTGTAAAAGGAAAAATAATAATGGTTGTTGTTACAGGATCAAATGACATAATGATTGTAAAGTGCTTAACACAATGACTGGCATATGTTAGACAACATTATTATTATCTCCCTAATTTAATGCAATTGTTCCATGCCTGATAACCTTGAAGTGGTTTTTAAATACCAAGAGTAGTAGGATCAATAATTTCTATATGTGATAATATGGAAATGCAATCAATGTCATCTGAAGTTTATTGTTTGTTTTGAGGACAACCTTGGACACAGCCTAGGTAGGATCTTCCTGACTCTGTTTCCCAATTGTGCTATTTCCTTTCTGAAAAGGAAAAATCCCCACCTGATTAATCCTGAGACCTGCCTTTAACATCTAGTGACTACATGATTGGCTATCAGATATGACTCATGTTTGGAATCAAACAGAGTTAAGGAAGTTCTTTCCTTTGGATATGATATATGACATTGTCCCTCTTTTCTTTTTATAGCAAATTTCTACAATCAAGATGTTCTGTAAGTACAATACTAAATCTATAAAATACTAGATGGATACTAAAACATTTCTGAGTTACCATAATAAGATGCAAGTATGAGTAGCTTATAATTTTAACTTATGTTCATGGCCAAATAAATAATATAGAGATAACATCCTCCTAAGGAGGAAATGATTAGACAAAGTAATAAGACAAAGATGTAATGTGATAGATGTCTAATTAAAAAGGATAGCAAATTTTGAGAAAAGCAACAGACTGATCCATCTAAGAATTATATACTGATGTATATGATTGGCTTCCAAAATTTGTCTATCACGGAAATTCAAGCTTTAAGCATGTTTTGGTAATAAGATCTCAATTTTGTATTTTTACTGAAAAATTGTATAGGATAGTGGTAAAACTAAGTGAAATTATATCTCCTTTATTAAAGTATCTGTCCAATAATTTTAAAAGGCAGAAGAGTTCATTTTATGGTTGGACCCTCACATTTTAAAGGATTCTTATACCAGGTACAGGATTTAGGCAAGGACAGATGCAGCAGATGATATAAAAATTGAAATTCTCTAAAGTTTCAAAAATGGAGAACCAAATTTAAATGATTGTGCTAATTTATACTAAGTCAGAATTATCTGGGAACTTCTAGATTTAAACCAGAGAAGCAGAATTCCCTTTTTGAACTGCCTAAGAATAAAACCTATTGTACATGAGATATCTGGGATTCAAAAGGTGCTGCTTAAATGGACATTGGGAATAGGTTACTGGGATACAAGGAACTTAATGTTAGTTAATGTTGGTAATAATGATTGTATTGATTTGTATGGATCAGCTTTAAGTTTTCTTATTTATCTTAGTAACACGTAAATCTCCCTTCTCAAGACTGATCGATTGTGAGCCCTTTAAGTAGTTTAATCTGTACCTGACTTAATGTAATTATGCAATTTTGTGAATTATGAGAAAAACTTTGTTGTATTGCTTGAACCTGGCCCTGCGTGGTAAGGACCTATGTTATGCTGTTTTCTCTCAACTGCCATCTTATATGTCTTCTAAGAGCCCCTATCAGGTCTTTCTGACTGCTGTCAACTTGTGAATGTGGACTCCTAGATCATCTGAAGATGCCTGCTCCAAGTGGACATCTCTTCCCACTCCTTGAGGAGGAGTGAAGCTTTCCCTTGGTCTTCAGGTGACACCTTTTGGCGCACCATTGACCAAAAGAAGGGAATGTAGACGTGTCTCCAAACCATTTTGAACCCCAACACCTGAGAAAAGCCTAAAACCTGGTTTGGCCAACCAGGAGAGACATTTCAGTCTACTTTGGGCTTAATCTACCATAATGCTTTGTGTGTTCTGGACATGCATTGCATTATTCTTTGAGTGAACCCAGAATGCCCCTTCCTGTGTCAATAACTGAAGCTGACCAAGAGCATTCTTCTGTTTATAACCACTAAGGTGCCTTGACCCAGACCCTACCTTGAACAGTGGGACTTATCTTAGTATTGTATGGACATATGCTATGTTATGTCATGTTAATGGTAAAAGAAACACAGATATTTTGGACCTATAATTTCAATCAACACTTTGACATTCTCCTATCTTATTGTATTTACAACCTATTCATTTAAGAAACTCCTTTCTCATATCATGGTTAAACATTTGGAGACCATAATTTTGGCTGACATTGGCATCCTGAGCCAGGAAGGGAGGGAAGGGTGAGAGGGAATTGCCCTGAACATATAAAAATCCTCTTTGTCTGTCCATCTTTGGGTTCATTGTCTCACGGTGAGCTCCCATGTATATCTCTATATACATGTTTCACAAGCTTTGAGAGAAATAAACACTCATATTCAGCCTAATTTTGTTTGTCTTTCTAAGAACAAACTTAGTAATGGTTGACAGAAATGGTGCCTTTGCTTGGATGAGACAGTGCTAGAGATTGGACCCTTCCCTGGATAGCACTAGTTGACAGCGGTCAACAATGGGGCACAGATACCCAGGTAGAGAGGAAATTCTGCCAAAAGTTGAGAGGAGAACTAGGAAAACCAATTTCATTATGGGATCATAGAATTTAGAGCTGGGAGAGACATTATACCCCAGCTAAAGGAAACACAATAGAGTGGATACACTGCAGGACCTGATGCCAGGATAAACCTAGGTTAAAAAAGAAAAAAAAAAACTCAAAACTTAGTGCCTTGGTTTCCTCATTTGTAAAAGGAGAGGTTTGATTTTTATTGCGTCTAATGACCCCTTTACTTCTAAAGCTTTGATTTAGTCAAACTTGTTCATTTTTAAAAATTGATGGGTCAACAAACAGTTATTAAGCTTGTAAAATATACCAAGCATACAAGGACAGAAGCAAACAGCTCTGCCCTCAAGGGGCTTACATTCTCTTGGGAGAACCAACATGTACATACACATATAAAACACAGGTATATAAAAGACACATTCCAAGTCAAATACAAGGAAACCTTGGAAGGGAAGGAACTCTTACCTGGGGAGACCCAGGAAGGCCTCTGTATTAGAGCTGAATCTTGAAGGTAAAACGGAGGCTTCCAGGGAGGGCTGGTGATGTTCCAGACAGGAGGGACAGACACAAGGATGGGAAATGAAGACCAAGAAGGTCAGAGTTCATGGAGGGGATTAACGTGTGAATAGACTGGAAAGTTAGGAAGGGGCCTGATTGTGAAAAGCTTGAAGGGTCACACAGAAGACCTTCTGCTTTTGGTCCTAGAGGTAACAGGAAGCCACTGGAGTTTATCGAGCTGGGGAGTAGAGACAAACCTGTTCAAACCTGTGTTTTAGGAAAATCACTGTGGTGGCTATGTGAAAGTTGGACTGGAGAGAAGAAAGATCGAGGGAACAAATAGGAGCCCACTACAACTCTCCAGGTGAGAGGTGTGAGTAGAGAAACTGAGGCTCAGAGAGAGGAGACATGCCCCACAAATACTCAACAACTTTGCTCAAACAAGCCCCAACAATTTCTATTGGATTTTAAAGTTTCATTTTATAACAGAGTTCTCACTAGACACCCAGGATTCCTTGCTTTCTAGATAAAGAGTGGGATCTTTGCTGAAAATAGTTATGCATACTGGCTCCAGCCTCCCTCTTGTTCCACATTGGACCAGCCCTGGCTAAGGATTTAATACTTGCATTCCTTCTGAAGGAGGACACCCAGGCCAACTAGATCTTCATTCCCCTCTAGCCTACACTTCTGAGTCTCCTGGATTTTCTCCTCTTATTCCAGAGATCTCTTTCAACTTGGAAACTCATGTCATTCTGGACTTTTCCCCTGCACCTTCTCCCTCGGATTGGCTGGTTTCTCCCCAAACCTCCATAAGGAGGAGGCTCAGGCCAGCCAGGTCTCCTAGCCATGCTTCTCGGACTTTCTTTACAATGCCCGTTAGTGGGGCTTCTCTTTCCACCCCGTTTCGCTTCAGCTCCCTTTTATGTTTTCTTCTATTAGACGGTAAGCTCCCTGAGGGCAGGCACTATTCTTATTTGTGTTCCCAGCATAGTTAGGGCTTAATATCTTACCTACCCATGGCTAGCACGGCTCTTTGGAGACGAGTGCATTTAGAGATTCGACTTTGTGCATATTCTCTGTTCAATGTCAAACGATCAATCAACACTCATGATGCACTTATTGCCTGTGCAATAAGGCACTGTGCGAAGCGCTTGGGGATACAAAAAGAGGCAACTTTTAGTGTTCTCTTTGAGAATCAAATGAGATAAAACTGTGATTATAAAGCGGCTGACACATAGTAAGTACTATGTACATGTTCGCTATTATTATCATCATTATTTAGTTCTGGTTCGGGTTTCTTCCCTGCATTAGTTCAGTTTCTCTGAATTCCACGTCATCAGTTTTTAAAAGGTGCCGTAATATTACATCACAGCCATTCCCCAACGCAAGGGTCCTGGTTCAGCATCTAGTTGGTTTTTTTTGCTGCTACAGAAGTAAAATAAATTGGTGCGCACCAGCCCTCCCTTTGCTTTGACTTCTCCCCCTACTGGAGCTCTGGGTTAAAGGGCGGGAACCTTTAATCACTTTTCTCCAGCGCAGTTCCCGCGCTCCAAAGGCCCTCCCTTTTCTCCTCCCTCCGACCTAAAGGAGAAACTCCCCAGACCCAGCCCCAAAAGGCGGGAGGCGGGGCTGGGTGGGGGCGGGGCAGAGGCTCTTCGAGGAAGCCTGGGATTGGCCTGCGGCGGTCTCCACTTCCTAATTCATCTTGCCGAGCCCGCGCGGCGGAGGCGGGGCCTCGCCGGAAGGGGCGGGACGGCGCGCAGTGGCGCGAAACCCAGCTGCGGCTTCCGTTTGGAACGTTGTGTATCCTTTTGTATCCTCGGCTGTGGTCTCAGCGTTCCATCCGCGCTCCCCCGCCTGCGCTCGCCATGGCGCAGCGCAGAGTCACCGACTTCTTCGCCTTGCGCAAGGGCTCGCGGGCGGAAGCGTCGGCCCTCCGCGGCCCCTTGAAGCTCCGCGGGAGCCCCGCCAAGCCGGAGGGGACCCTGGGCCCCGGGGCGCGCGCCCGGCCCCGAGTGGTCTCCCCGCGCACCCCGGCCCGGGCGTCCGGCAGCTCGGCCCCCGCCCCGACGGGCACCCCGAGCGGCAGCGGCAGGAAGCGGAGCCGCCAGGCCTCGGACCCGGACCAGGAAACGGAGGCCCCCCCAGTGCGGCGCGCGGCCCGGAGGAGGCTGGTGCTTTCCGCCGACCCCGAGGCCCCGGAGGTCACGGTGAGCGAGCCCCCAGGAGAGCATCAGAACCGGTCTTTGTGGGTACAGCACGACCCGGTTCCAAGTTGGTCTCAGCCGGCTGTAGCTCGGTTTCCTCCTCCAGCTACTTAGCAAAGTGCCTGGCATGCAGCAGGCGCTTAATACATGCTTTTTGCTCGAGCGCTTCCTGCGGAGCTTGCTGGGTTGGTTGTAGGACCGAATGAGGTCACTGATAAAGAGCTTCGCAAACCCTAAAACGCTCCACGGCCTCCCCACTAACTTATTTTAAAGATGGAGCCACACCTGAAGGGTGTTGAGCACCCAGCCCCTGGCTCAGCTTCGGGGTTTGGGCTGAGCGGCGGCCGTGGGGAGAGGCCAGCAGCAGGGGTGACCTCGGAGGCCACCCCATGGCGTAGTACTGAGTCCTGGTTGCGCACTGGCCTTCTACTCAGGGGGTTCTCCGTTCGAATCCCCCAGGGAGAGTTATTGGTTGTTTTCACGTGTCACGCTCAGTGACTCAGCTTCCTCATTTACAAAATGGGGGGTTCGACTCTGTGGCCTTTTACGGGCCTTTCCAGCTCAGTATCTATAGAGATCTTAGGTTATTGCACCGGAGACTAGGTAGGCGGATCCACCTGCAAAGGACTGACCTGGAAGCTTTGCCACAGCCCCGGGGGCGTTTGAAGGACTGTCCCCTGCGCTCATCCTCCTCCCAGAACTAGAAGCAAAGGGGCTGAGTCCCTGCACAGAAATACGGTTCCACGTTCTCATTTCTCTGCTTGCCAAGTCGCTGGGTGGGTTTGTCAGGAGGGCAGTGGGCCGCCTCCCCTGCCAGGGAGGTCTCCACTTGGAGGCTGGATCGAAGGACAAGTGGTCACTTGTTAAGGATTTTGCAGAATGGATTTCTCTTTGGGGCGGTTTGTCCCAGAGGATATCTGAGGGTTTTCTGATTCAATTTTGGAATGTTAAAGCTGGAAGTGATTTCTAGGGATTATCTTAACGGTAATGGCTTACACTGCTGCAGTGCTTTCTGTACAATACTGGGCACAAATGTCATTATCTCCATTTGAAGCGTGAAGAAACTGCGACCCAGAGAGGTCGGGGAGGTTACTAGTCCATGATGGCACAGTAGTAGTGATGGAGTCATGACCAGGACCTGGGCCTCCTGATTCCCCCGACCAGTGTTTTTTAAAAATGATTATTATTATACTACAGTTTCTCCCTTAAGTAAAAATATGGTAAAATTAAAAAGCTAAATGTATGAACCACGGGAATGGTGGAAGGAGTGATTGACCCGAGGGGATGGTCTTGAAGGCCTTTCCCAGCCCCTCACTTTCTGAATATGTGCTTTCACCTCTCACTGTTCTTACAAAGGGGTGAATGGTTCAGTAGGAAACCTTTGACCTTGTGTAAGGGAGAGGTGGGCTAGTTCCGGCATTTATTCAGCAGACTCTAAGCACCCAGCACATGCGGTGGACCGAGCTAGACTGAAACCAGAAATGTGGAGATGTTAGTCTGAGACTCCTCCCTCTTAATCATCTGTCCATCCTCAAGCAGCTGCTGTCTGTGTAGAGGCTGTGTACTCATGAATTCGAAGAGGGCTCAGACAGAAGCTCTCAGGAAGAGGGGGACTGAAGTCCCAGCTCTGCTATTTCTTGAGTGATTTGGGGCATGGCACTACATCTTTCTCAGCCTCAGTTTTCTTTCTCTTTTTTTTAATTAATATATTTTGATTTATCAGCAATCACTTCCATATACTTTTAAGTTTAAAATTTTTTCCCCCTTCCTCCCCACCACCCTCCCCAAGATGGCGCACAATCTGATATAGGCTATGCATATACATTCCTGTTAAACATTTTTTCACATTAGTGATGTGGTAAGAAAGAATTAGAACCAATAGGAGAAACCACCAGAAAGAGGAAACAAAGCTCAACAGAAGAAAAAAAAATAACATAGTATGCTTTGATCTGCATTCAAACTCCATAGTTCTTTCTTTGGATGTGGATAGCATTTTCCACCACGAGGCCTTTGAAGATGTCGTAGATCCTTGTATTGCTGGGAAGGGTTAAGTTTATCAATATTAGTCATTGCACAATGTGCTGTTACTATGTACAACATTGTCCTGGTTCTGCTCACTTCACTCAGCATCAGACCATATGTCTTTCCAGGTTTTTCTGAAGTTTGCCTGCTTATCATTTCTTATAGCACAGTAGTATTCCATTATGTTCATATGCCACAACTTGTTCAGCCATTCCCCAATTGATGGGCATTCTCTCAATTTCCAATTTAGCCTCAGTTTTCTCATCTGCAAAATGGGGATACAAATCATCCTACGGGGTTGTTGTGAGCATGGAATGAGATAATGTATGTTACTAGCCGTATAATCCATAAAGCATTATCTGAGGGTGAGCTGTCATTTTCTCTAATTGGTCACATCATGTACTTGGTGTGACCTAAGGTCCTTGAGGTCAGGGCCCATCACTCCTTTACTGCTCTCTTAGGTTCTAGGGGAGGGCTTCATAAATGTTTGCTTCCAGAATGCACCTGGCTCTGACCTTGAAGGCAGAAAGATGCGCAGATGCCGACCTTGACTTTTCATTTTTTGTCCCTCATACAGGTTTCTAGCTCATGTTCATCCACTTCCCCCTCTGTGGGGAAGGAGGTAAAGACTGTTCCCCTCTCCCCAGCCTCGAAAGCCAGCCTGGATTTCCCAGAAGGCATCGTAAGTAAATCCCTGCAGAGATGAATATTGTCCATGTACCTGGTCCTTCTCAGCCCTGGTAGCTTTGTAATCCTGCCTTTCCTGGACCTTAGGCCTAGGAAGGGAATAGAATCGGTCTGTGAAAAGGTGCCACGTCGAACTTTACTTTGCTTTCGAGGCACACTCTGAAAAACTGCTCAGGCTGGCATCAGACACCTGGGCTCTGCTTGTGGCCTTGCACATGGCATCTAATCCCCTTCTGAAACGAAGTTGTTTCATATGTAAAATGAGAATGTTAATACCTGTAATGGCCTGGGTGGTGCTGAGATGACACCTGGAAAAGTATTTTGTAAATTACATAGTGCTCTGTGTGTGTGAGATATTATTTAGTAAAAATCTGTTTAAACTGGGGGAGCTATTTGCTTCAAGGAGCCCTTGGTTTGTGTTTTGTTGTGTTTTGAAAGTAAATAATCCTTATATAAAATAAGGAATGCCCTCCATTGATTTTGTCTGAATTTGAATTTTTACATATGGGGTTTGCCTCTGCCGAGCCATCTGTCTGCGCAAAGCTGCTCCATAAGGGAGAGTTTCTGGGGGTCTTTGTGCCTGGGCTGGGTGTCCCTTCTCACTCTTGTTCTTACCCCTCAGGGCCACTCAAAGCCAGACCTTGCTGAGCTCAAGTCTCGGCTGCAGAAGGTTCGGGAGCTGACCCACAGAGCCGCACCCCTCACCTCCACCCCGAATGCCAGTGTCAGCCTCAAAAACCGACTGCAGCGTGCCCGGGAGCTGGGGGCCCGGATCCAGGCTGGGACTTCTGCTGGCGAGAAGAAAAGTGAAGAGCCAGGGCCCCAGGAGGTGGGGGACCCCACAGTGGAGCCATGGTGAGAGCCTGGTAGGGAGGGGAGCGGGGGACAAGAGCCTGAGAGGCCTAACATGCCCCACAACCATGAACCCAGCAACATTCTCCCTCCTCCTGGTGATACAGAAAGAATCTGAGGCTTTGTCAGTCTGCGGGGATAGACATCCATGGCAGGTGGGCTTGGTGCTCAGTTGAACATTCCCACTTAGCATTCTTCCCCGCCCCCCCAAAATACAGGGTATCTGTCCCAAAAGTCTTAGTGAAGTTTTAAGCCATTAAAAATGTTAACAGCTATTTTAATAAGTTACTTTAATAATTTAAGGAAAAAAACATTTTTAATTTTACAAAACTTTGATAACTTCATAAAATTAAAAATGTTTAAATGAAATTTGAATTTCATTTATATAAAGTATATTTAAATACTAAATTTAAATTTTAAATAAAAAGTGCTGTTTTAGTAAACTATTAAAGCTTTTTTCATTAAAATTTCTATTTTAATTCAACTCTATTTTATTTTAATTTAAATATGTTAAATTAAATTTAAATATGAATGATTTAATTTAAAATCTAATTAATTTAAGAATTTAAATTAAACTTTTTTAAAAATTTAATTTAAATATAAAGTTAAATATGAATGAAATAATTTAAATAAAAATTAAAATTTTTAAAAATTAAATATGAATAAATATATAATTTAAATATAAATTTAAATGTATTTATATGTAACATTTATATATTTCTAAATATGTATATATGTAACATAAGCATATTTAATAAATTTACTTTAAATTTTAATTAAAAAGATATTTAAATTAAAATATTTTTGAAAGATCTTTTAACAAGCTAGTAAAGCTTTAGTGGCCTGAAATTGCATTAAGACTTTGGGGACAGTCTGTGTATTTTTATTGCTGTCTTTTGTTTTTACAGAGCCTAGGTGTTCCCCCCATCCCTCCCTCTCCCTCTGCCAGAGAGCCATTCCTTATAATAAAGAATTTTTTTTTTAAGAGAAAAATAAAATCAGTAAATCCAGTGAACCCACTGAAAAATCTCTTGACATTTAATGCAGTGTTTATACCCGTAGACTCTCACGTGGGACAGGGAGGGGCGTTTCCTCTTGTCTTTTTCTTGGGGTCCAGATGTGCTTTGCACTTTGGCAGTTTCCGTTTGGCCTGCTTCACAGATGTTGTCCTTTCCAGCGTCTGCAGACTATTTTTCTGACTCAGCTTCCATCACTTTGTCTCATTCTTGGCACTCTTTCTGGGCTTCTCAATGTTTCTACTGGCCCAGGACACTGGCCCTTCACCTTCCTCGTGCTCTGAGAGATTTTAAGGATACGTCTAGTCCTGCCCCTTATCACCATGGTTCATCACCATGGCTCACATTTCACTGATAATGATATTCATTATTAGAGCGCTAGGTTTGTGAAGCCTTTTCCTGTCCATAACCCAGGGATGAAGGTAAATGCAATTATTAGTGTCCACATCTGATGTGAGAAGATTCCAGGCTTGTAGCAGGGGAACTGACTTACTCATAAACTGCGCAGCTAGAAAGTGTAAGAACCAGTTCTAGAACCCAGGCTTTGTACTCTTGATACCCCGTTCCGTATTATGTGCAATTAGAGCTGGGACTGTTGACCCAGAGGTATACGACTCTTTATTTTTCAATAATATTTTACTTTATCCCCCAATCAGATGTAAGAATAGTTTTAACATTTAAAAACATTTTTGGAGTTTTAGTTTACCACCTCCTTTTCCTTCCCCCTCCCTGATACAGTAAGCAATCTGATACAAGTTATACTTGTATAATCATGTAAAATATATTTCCATATTACATATATGATCATTTGAAAAAAAAAAGCTATTGATCACAGTTGGTATGGGGGTAACTTGATCTGGACTGGCCAAAGATCGGCAGAACTGTTTGGCATTTTCAGGAGGCTGGGCTGGGTCTGGGGAGGTCAGGCCCACTAAGGAGTTACAGGTGGGGGACCCAGATCTCTGGACCTTCTGAAGTCCCTGAACTGGCCTCGGGACCACACTGGCTTCTTAGGCCCGTGACCCAGACTGCACTCCTGGGCTTGGGACGGGACCAGACTTTAGGGTAGGAGAGGGCAAGGTGGTTTCTGTGTGTCTGACCCTTCTCAGGCTAATAGTCTGGTTTGCTTTTGCCCCAGTACGTCGAAGGGCCCTGCACCTGCCTATGAGCGGTTCCACACCCTCGCCCAGGCCGGCCCCCCGGGCCTTACGCTGCCCTACAAGTATAAGGTCTTGGCCGAGATGTTCCGCAGCATGGACACCATCGTGGGCATGCTCTTCAATCGCTCCGAGACGGTGACTTTTGCCAAGGTCAAACAGGGCGTCCAGGACATGATGCGCAAGTGAGTCTCGTTAGGGTGTTAGGAGGAGGGGTCCTCGGGCTGGAGCCAGGCATCTACCCTGGTGCTCAGCCGCTGCTGAAAGAATCTTTTGTTTTCCTTCTGCCTTCTCTCCCTTCTGGACCTAGAAGCTTCGCCTGTAGGAACCAGAGAGGCGGCCTTCATGTAATCATTTCACACACATGAAAGAGAGGGCCGCTCATCATTAATAGCGACAGTGGCATCTAATAAAAAGGGAATGAACACTTAATAAGCACCTACTATGTGCCAGGCACACATTAAGTGCTTTATAAATATCTCAGTTTTATCATCTCTATGGCGCTTGGAGGTTCGCAAAGGAATTTTTATGGGTTATCTCGTTTAATCCTCACAACCTCGTGAGGTAGGTGTTGCTATTGCCATTTCACAGATGAGGAAACTGAGACAGACAGATTAGTTGATTTGCCCAGAGTCACCAGGTAGGAAGAGCCTGAGGCAGGATTTGAGCTCAGGCTTCCCTGACTCCAGGTCAGGGGACGTGTGGCTGTCTGTTTGCTCCCCTGTTCCTGGCTGAGACCAGAGGTGTTTGGGTCCCATGGTGAGCACCAAGGTGAGTTCTCTGCTGAAACTGTTTTGGCACAGGGGTGGGGTCTGGTCACTGCCTAGAATGGCCTGGGGACTTGGTGACAAATGTCTGGTGATTTTCAGGGGCCAGGCCTCTCACTCACCCAGTGCCCCATGCTTGTCTTTGTCAGGAGGTTTGAGGAGCGAAATGTGGGGCAGATCAAGACCGTCTACCCAGCATCATACCGCTTCCGGCAGGAGCGGAACATCCCCACGTTTAATGACAGCGTGAAGCGATCGGATTATCAGCTCACCATCGAGCCTGTGCTGGAGCAAGGTGGGTGAGCCTCGGGGCGAGGAGGAGGATCATGGGGAGCCTGTGCCCTTGACCCCCCACAGCTGAGGCTTGGCCCTGAGCCACCCCAGAAGCGGTGCCTTGGGGCGAGCCAGAGTCCTGACTCCGTGCCTCGTGTGGTCCCCCAGCACTGCCTTAGCCTCTTTGCAGCCGGTCACTCAGAAGTGAGTGTTCCTTGACGTGGGTTATCGTGGCCCGTAGTGACCGGGGCAGGAGCCAGTGTGGCTGGAGTGGCGGAGGGGGTCGCGGCTTGGGGCTGAGGGGTCGCCGAGTAACGAGATGTGCCTTCTCTCCCCAGAAGAGGGTGGCGAGGGAGCCGCCCAGCTGTCAGCTTCCCACCTTCTGCAGCGCCGCCGCACCTTCGGCAGGAACTTGGTGAACCTGGTCAAGGAACACCACAAGGTGAGCAGGGAGGGCTGGCAAGGACGTCTGAGGCCGTCTTGCCCATGGTACCAGACTCCTCGTGTTGACGTGGACCCCTAAGCAGAGAAGGGTCATCGAGCTTGCAGCCCCTTACCTGCCCCCAGCAGGACGGCAGGTCTGAACTGTATTTCTCACCAGTGGGTTTGGGTTTGTGGCGAGCCACCCCTGTTTTCTTCTTTTTTAACTTTTCACTGCGAGAATTTATTTTTATATGGCTTCTGCATTGTCCTCTTCATCGTCTCCACAAAGAACAGTCATGGCATTATAAAGGCTCCTTCCCACGCTGGCAGCAGCCTGAATGCCCAGCAGTGGGAAAGACTCTCAGTGTAGTATGTTGGGATGGGATAGTGCCATTAAGACCAACAGGTGTGAGGAAGGACATGGGGAGACCTTTAAGGTCCAGTGAAAACAGAACCAGGAGCATGGAGTTCAGTCCGGCTGAGCCAGACCATAGGGCAGTCTTGAGGCTGCACTGTGATTCTGCGGTTGGAGGAAGTGCTGCCACTGATTCAGACGTCAAACTTTGATCCAAAAGCAGGAGTGTAGAGGCAGCTAGGCGGTACAGTGGACAGAGCACCGGCCCTGGAGTTAGGAGGACCTGAGTTCAAATCCAGCCTCAGACACTTGACACTCACTAGCTGTGTGACTCTGGGCAAGTCACTTAACCCTGATTGCCTTGCAATCCCCCCCAAAAAAAGTAGGGGTATAAAAGTGAAGGGAACAAAGAGTGGGATTGTGGGGGCATGCGGGCTTGAGGTGAGCAGATTTGGGGGAAGGCAGAGCCAGATTCTGTTCTGTGTGGCAGAAGCATTTCCCCTCCCCCCAGATCTTCCCCATCCCCTTGCTGTATCACGTCTGACTGCCATTAGCATGGGTCTCAGTCAGGCCTTCTGGCCTGGTCCCACTGGCTCAGCACGACGTGTTTGCACGTGGCTGGTTAGAGTTCGTGCTCCAGTCTCTAGGAGTATCTGTCATCCCCCCTCCTCTGGCCCCTTGACTGATTCGTGGCTCCCTACGTGACTAGTTTGGAGGGTGTTTGGCCCCAGCACCGCGTTCCATCCGGGAGGCTTGGCTGCTCTTGCAGGGCCAGGTGCTGGTCTCACCTCCTGTTCGTTTCCTCCAAGGTTTTCCTCGCCTCCCTGAGCCCACCACTGGTGGTACCAGAAGACCAGCTAACCAGGTGGCACCCCAGATTTAACGTGGATGAGGTGCCGGACATCATCCCTGCCGAGCTGCCGACGCCGCCTCACACGGACAAGGTCACAACTGCGCAGGAGATGCTGGCCAGAGCTCGGACGATGCTGACGCCGAAGGTGAGGGTGTGGCCCTTCAAGGATCGTGTCCATCAGCCCCAGGGGGTAGAGAGAAGTGATGGCTGAAGTGGGGGGTGTCGATCATCTTCCTAGTGGAATCACAGATGTCCTGGTAATTGTGTGTGTGTCTTTGTCTGTTTTCACTTCTGGACACAGATGGAAAAGGCCTTGGCCAATCTGGCTCTGAAAACAGCCAACAACAGCAGCCCCCCCAAACCAGGGTCCCCCGGTCTCAGCAGTCCCCTGAAATTAGCTTCTCCATCCAGCTCCCCCAGTGCCCTGAAGGGCGTCTCCCAGGCTCTGCTGGAGCGGGTGAGTAGTACGTGGAGGGTGCAGGTGGTGAGGATGAGGGGACTCCTGTGTCGTCCAGGCCCAGCGTGCCTGACCACTTGCCTCCTTCCCTTCCCTCCCAAGATCCGTGCCAAGGAAACTCAGAAGCTGCAGGCGAGGATGACCCGCAGACCTCAGCAGGAGGAGCGCCTCTTGGTGCTGTCCAGGCTGCCCGAGCTGGCACGCATCCTTCGGAGCGTCTTTGTGGCCGAGAAGAAGCCGGCGCTGACCATGGAGGTGACCTGCGCCAGAATGGTCAGCAGCTACCGCTCGTCCATGCTGCCTGGTACGTAGGTCACCCTCGATGGAGGCTGCCAGGGACGGGGTGGGGAGATTGCTGTGGGGCCTTCTGAAAACAGGGTCAGATCCCACTTTGTGCCGGAGGCCCTTCTGGGGCTGGCCATGCTTCCCCGGCAGTGCTCCCTGGGAGATACCTCTCCTGTGCTCTACTTCTTGTGGTTGTTTATGTGTCTCCCCATTAGACTGTGAGGTCCTTGAGGCCTTTCTTTATCCCCAGTGCTTGGCACGGTGCCTGGTACATAGTAGGCACTTAATAAATGCTCACAAAGCAATGGGCAGTTAGGCTAATGTGTCCCCATTAGTCTGTGAGGTCCTCCAGGCTTTTCTTTATCCCTGGTGCTTGGCACGGTGCCTGGTACATAGTAGGCACTTAATAAATGCTCACAAACCTATGGGCAGTTAGGCTAAGCTGATCCCTGACCTTTGATGGGGCTGTCCCCATGAGGGTTTGTTCCAGGTCTTTTGTCAGGGTCCCTGGGAGACTGACCCCAGTATTTACAGGCTGGAACAGAGGAAGGAGACAGAGCATGGGGTAAATTCCCTTCGATTAAAGCTGAGGGCTATAACGGGGAAGCTCTTTGTGTCCTCACTTACCATAGTGCATACGATAGGTGCTTAGTAAATGTTTGAGCAGGTAGGGGCACCATAGAGCATAGAGTGCCTGGTCTGGAGTCAGGAAGACTCATCTCCTTGAGTTCTAATGTGGCCTCAGACTCCTACTAGCTGTGTGACCCTGAGCAAGTCATTTCACCCTGCTTGCCTCAGTTTCCTCATCTCTCAAATGAGCTGGAGAAGGAAATGGCAAATCACTCCAGTATCTTTGCCAAGAAAACCCTGCAAGGGTACATGGAGTCGGACACAACGGGACAACAAAAAATACCGATTGACTGCCAGCTGGAGGCCCCAGCCTCTTCCCATGTGTGTAATTTATTTACTTGGGACCAGTTCTGCATCTAGTAGGAATTTGGAATTATGGGGCAGAGGTCTGATTGGCCATACTTGGAAAAAAAATTATTTTTTTCCCCATGGACCTGGCTTTAAGAGGCTGGTTAGTGTGCTTTCTTTGGCGATGTTTAATTAGAGGCCTTGGTGATTTTCTTCACACCAGACTGGCTTCAGGGAAAGTTGTCTCTTTCCCAGTGGGATCTGTCCTGGGGGCTGGGAAAGGTTGGCTCCTGTGTGTCATCTGCTGGTAGGCCTTGCCCATGGCAGGGGCTGGGGACTCATGCCGTGTGTCGTGTGTCCTCAGGGGAGATGGAGAAGCACCTGCAGGTCCTCTCAGAGCTGCTCCCCGACTGGCTCAGTCTCCATCGCATCAGGACCGACACCTACCTGAGGCTGGACAAGTCTGTGGACCTGGGTCACATTTCAGAGAGACTTGCTAGGATTACCCAGGAGGAGGAGAAGCTGTAATGCAGGCCCTTCCTGGAAGATTGGGCTAGCATCTGAGCACTGAGCTGTGGGTGAAGGTGTAAGGGGGCATGTGTGTGTCAGGCATGGAATGATGAATCTTTTAAAAACACTAAATCCCACAAAGTGAGACCTTTCTACGTTTTATCCCCGCTGGAAAATAAAGATTCTTTGTAGATGCAGGATGTATGATCAGACCCCTTGCCCTGATCTCTGCAGCTTCTAGAGCCCCTGACTGTCCTCACTGCCTCCCCCCTGGGCCTAAGGCAGGAGCTCTTGAGTGGGGCCCGACATACACAGGGTTTACCATGTGGATGGGCTTTGGCCTCACTCGTAACCCACTGCTGGAGTACCCGTGTACCACTGCCCAGCAAGCAGCCAGTCGCAAAAGCCCAGGTGTCTGCTTTGCTGGGTGTTCAGTGTGTTGGCATTCAACTTTTATGGAGTTTATTTCTGTTTGTTGAATGCTAAGTCTCTTGGGGGAGCATCTCAGAGCCGCTGTGTTCTACCTGGTGTCAGCTTGGGCCTGGAAGAAAGACAGTTGCCCAGCATTTATTAATAAATGATTTAATCAGTGGATACAGCTAGCATCACAGCGGAGACAAGACATTCTGGTCTTCATTCTAGTTACAGGGCTCCCATTGTGTCACCTCTCTAAAGGAGGCCTGGCCAGTTGGTTCTTTCCTTTGTACGCTGGTCCTTCCAGGGCCTAGACGCCTCGTCCTGTAGCAAGTCAGGGAGCCTTAGGTTGTGATACGAGGGATTGTACATTGTATGTGCACAGTGAAAACGAATAAAAACATGTAAAAAGAGAGATCAAGAGTTAAGCCTTGAGCGGTCTCACTGATCTGCCTAGGCCCCTGGGGTCTGATACGGCACCAGGTGGGGAGAATTCCACCTGCTGGGGTTGTGAGTATGGGGGCAGCTAGGTGGCACAGTGGATACAGCACCGGCCTTGGATTCAGAAGGACCTGAGTTCAAATCTGGCCTCAGACACATATCACTTACTAGACGTGTGACCCTGGGCAAGTCAACCCCATTGCCTAGCCAAAACAAAAAAAGAAGTATGGCTCTTAACTGTATTTACAGTCAGAGATGATGCCCCACGGTTCCTTCTCCCACTATATTCCATTTGAGTCAAGAACTCTCCTCTAGAGATATCACTCAATCTGGGGCAGAGAGGTTCAGGTCACACAACTAGTACAGGTCAGAGGTCTGCTACCTGTCAGGTATACTTGAGTTGGTTGGCCAGGAAACTAACCCACTCAACTATGCCAAATACTGAGCCACAAGGCCAACTTTTCATTTGTACCAACTTAAGGGAGAAGAGTGTCCTTGGCTGTGGAGGCAGGTGAGGCACTGCCCAGGTGTGCCCTCTGGAAAGCAGAGCCCTTCTCTGGGAGCTGGTCTCTACCCTCCAAGCAGGGAGGTGGGGGGGAGTCCAGAGTGACAAGTGGCACATGGCTGGTGGTGGGGCACAAAAGGGCCAAGATGGCTGCCTTCCTCTGGAGGGGAGTGAGAGGCTGCATGACGGATAGGAGACCGGCAGGCCCTTTGGAGCCCTCTGTTGGTCTGAGGAGGAGGTGCTTCTCCAGGAGGATGAGCACTGGTTCACATTTCCATTGCCGAGCCCGTCCAGGGGGAGGCACTTGGCAACCCAGGTCGAAGTCCAGATCTCCTGACTGTGTAAATGAAAACCTGCCTGTGGTCTCTGCTGGTGGGGAAGGTGCTGACAGCAGCCCGGCCTCAGTCGTACTGCAGCAGGGAGAAGAAGGGCACAGGAGCCAGCTTCTCCCTCCCCTTCAAGGACGTCAGCTCCACCACGGCCAGGGCCTCCAGCACCTCGGCCTTCAGACTCTGCAGCAGCTTGCAGGCCGCCCCCATGGTACCTGCGGGGCGACAACCTGGTCAGGACGCTCTGAGGGCTGTGGTGGGTGCCCCAAGGATGGTAGGGCCCCCTCCACCTGTCCTGTCTCACCCGAGACCCCCCAAACCCTGCACCTAGGGAACTCCCGGGGAGGAAGCTCCTTCCATTCACAGTCTTAGGGGCACCTCGAGCAGGGCTTAAACCCAAATAGAAAGAGGGCCCACTGAACCATATGGATAGTATGTGGATGCCTGCGGCCGCCTGGTGGCTTAGTTTTAAAATGCAGTATTTTCTGTCTTATTGCATTTGTTTTTTGGTAAATATTTCCCAAGAACATTTTAATCTGGTTCTGGCTGTGTTTGACACCCACCTCTGACTGACATGTCCAGGGTCACACAGAAGGGTGTGTCGGGCAGGACTGGAACCCAGGTCTTCCTGGATTCTTTCCTCATTAGAACGTGAGCTCCTTCAGGCAGGGAATGTCTCTGCCTTTCTCTGTATCCCTGTGCTTAGCACAGAGCAAGCACATGACAAAATATTGTTCACTGACTGACTATCCAGTATGCCTCACGTTTTACAGAGGAGGGCACTGAGACTCAGGGAGGCAGACTGGTGTGCCCAGCCCCACACAAACAGTTGGTATCCTGGGCAAAGGTCTTCCCCTGGTGCCCAGGTATCAGCTGGGCGTGGCATCCGTGAGCAGCCTGACGCTGGGCCCTAAGGGAAAGGCAGGGGTCCCTCAGGAGCCCTGCCTACACTGGGCATCATGGAGGTGAGGAAGATTTGGGGCCCGGTCAGAGGGGACTCCCAGAGAGAGGCTAGGGTCGATGCCTGAGGCTCACCATGGGCGGCCTGATCTGGCTTGGCTACAGACAGAGCCAGAGTGATGCCAGGAGGGGCATCGAGTCAACCCTGGCTTCAGGTGGAGAGAGAAGCTGGCTTCTAAGGGCTCCTGGGAGGGTAAGCTCCATGACGCGCTCTCTCCTGCACGCAGCCTGCCGGATCTCCCCCACGTGTCCCACCTGCGTCCTGCCTGCACGTGGCTGTTCGCACGCGGTCTCAGACCCCCATCAGACTGGGTGCTCTTTCTGCCCGTTTTCTTATTTCCACCATTTAGCACTGTGCCTAGCACATAGTAGGCATCTTATAAATGCCTGCTGACATACATCAGCTAGCAAGCTGAGCCTTCTGGGCCGACTGTAGGGACTGTGATCTGCTTTCATCCCTTGCGTGATATGGGCAGCTTGCTAACGCAACACACTGAGTGCTGGGCCTAGAGTTAGGAAGACCCAAATTCAAATCCAGCCTCACTGGCTTTGTGACCCTGGGCAGGTCATTTAGTTTCTCTCGGCCTCAGTTTCCTCACCTGTAAAATGGAGATATTACTGCTCCTCCCTCAGAGGGTTATTATGAAGCTTGAAAGATCCTCCATGTAAAGTGCTGTACAAACATCACTCGTCTGGGGCTAACTACAGCTGCTCGGTCCAAAGGCCCCCCCCCCACTACTGTCCACACCCGATTACCTCCGGTGGCCATCAGGTCGTCCACGATCACCACCTTCTGGCCGGGCTCTATGGCATCTTCCTGGATCTCCAGCTCTGCCTGAAGAATGAAGCCTCAGGTCACTGGGTGCAGAAGAGCAAATCCTACCCAATGGCGAGGTGACTAAGGCAAGCCTAAAGAACTGGTCCAGGCCGTCCAGGCTATAGGAGGCCAACTGGATAAAGTCAGGAAGGCCAGGGTTCAAATCCCACCTCAGACCCCCATAGGCTGTGTGACCCTGGGCAAGTCACTTCACCTCTGTCTGCCTCCGTTTCCCCCAGGGTTGTTGTAGAGATAAAATAAGATATGTAAAGCATTATGTAAACGCGAGTTATTATCATCCGATTTTTTCTCACGACCCCGCCGCTCTCAGCAGCCACTGTCTGTAGGTGAAAACGTTTTAGAATCGTTTGGGGGCCTCCCTGCCACACTGGGCCCGCGTCTGAATTGCAGAAATGAAGAGCACCATCGTAAAAGCACGATTAGAGGACGCCAGTGCTAACCCCAAGCTGGTGAAGTGGGCAAAGAGCCCCCCGCCTGGTAGCAGGACCCAACCCCCCCCTTCCAGCGGCCTTTCCAAGTATATGAGGTGAGGTCATGGCAGAGGGAGGCAGCATCACCACCGTCTCGGTCATCTGGCCTCCACCTGAAGACCTCAGGCCTGCTAATGGGGGCCAGGTCTAAGCTCAGAAGCTCTGGCCTCTGGCGGGTGCTGCTGGCATTTTTGTCGTCAACTTAAAAATGCCTTTGGTTTTTCCGTGACATTCAAACGTTGCTGAACTTTTTTATCTCTTCACTCCCAGACCCCCCCAAATCCCGCTCCAACAGACTTAACCCTGTCACTGCCGGACGCTGGGCAGGGTCTCTCCCCATTGGTGGCTGTCCTAGTTGCTCATTGCACCCAGGGCTGTACTTTACTGCAGGTTCCTACGATCTAATCACTGCCCAGAATACCCCACCTCCCACCAGCCACATCGCCCGTCCTTGAACCATGATCAAACTGGCCGTCGCTGCTCCTGGAAAGGGTCTGTGACTCGGCTTGCCGAGGGTTCCAGTTCACGAGCCTCCCTCCCCTTCTGCTCCCCGCTGAACCTTGCATGTCCCATCAAGACCACTGACCATGCCTGACGACATCTGCACCGCTCCCTGCCCCCGGCCCCCACATCTGCAGAACATGCTCTCATCTCCTCCAGGGCCAAGGTTGGTCATGATAATGACACACAGGCAGGTCTGTTTTGCTCTTCTTTTCGTTCACACTGCTAGGATCTTTGTGGATGGTTCTTTGGGACCAGCTGTCAGGGAGGGTTCCCATCGAGGGATTCGGCAGCCTTCAGAAAGCTCCACTGGGTCTAAAGCAATGGCGTTAGGACCAAAAACGTACTGTACTGGGTCCTGGTTCCAACACTGACTTCCCCGGGTGACCAAGGACACAGAGGTCTGGGCCTTAGCTTCCTGTCTATAAAACAAGGGCCTTGGGCTGGATGACTAGTGTGATTATACTTCTTCAAGATTTCTGCCTCTGGGTTAACTGCCAATTAAAATTCATTTAAAATGAAAGCTGATCGCTTTCTTTATCCTTAAAATGGGGGGGGGGGTTGGGGGCAGCTAGGTGGTGCGGTGGATAGACCACTGGCCCTGAAGTCAGGAGGACCTGAGTTCAAATCCAACCTCAAACCAAACATTTGACACTTACTAGCTATGTGACCCTGGGCAAGTCACTTAACCCCAATTGCCTAAAAAAAAACAAAAACAAAAATCGGGGGGTTGGGCTAGGTGACCCCCAGAAGCCCCTCAAAGCTGTGGACCAGCCACCCTTTGGTTTCAAACGGCAGGTTGGACCTCCAAATGTCCCCAACGTGCATCCCGCTTGACCTTGATGGTACATCAAGTTTGGTTAAAGCCAGTTCACTCTTCTGAAAGATTTTGTGGCACAAGAGACCTTTTTTTGTTATCATTAACTCCAACAAGCCATCCCTACTGCTGAATGAGGAATCTGGGGGCCTCCAGACTTTGTCACCACGCTCCCTCTGCCCCATCTCCCTTGGCCAGCACCTCCTGAAGCTAAGAGCACAGACCAGCCACACCTCACTGTAACCTTCACCCCCATCTCTCACATGAACACCAACCTTCTCTCATCTTCCCGTTAGAATGTAAGTTCCCTGAGGCCAGGGACTGTCCTTTTTGCTTGTAGCTATATCCCTAGTGCTTGGCACACGGTAAGTGCCCAATAAATGCTCCCTGGCTTGACATGTAAGGCCAGTCTGATGAACTGAAAGGAAGCTCGTGGATGAGCCGTGCCAGAAACTCCTATCAAAAGGCATCATTGAGCCGCCGGATACTTGAAGAGGAAGAGGAAAGGATTCAGAGCTGACCCGTGCAGGTCAGGTAGCCCAACCCCCTCACCTTACAGGCCGGAGGAAGCGGAGGCCCAGATGACCTGCCTACTGTGGCCGAGCTGGGATTGAAGACCGAGTTTTCTGACTCTGAATCTAGCATACCGGCCCGTACCCTGCTGGTCCCAGAAGGTGCTGTCCTACGCCCGTCCCCTCCCCCAGCCCCGACTCACCTGGCCATATTCCAGGGAGTAACTGGAGGATACTGTGGGCCCTGGGAGCTTCCCTTGCTTTCGGACGAGCACGAACCCTATCCCAAGCTTCTGGGCCAGAGAGGGACCAAAGAGGAAACCTCGAGCATCCAAACCTGGGGGGAAGAAAATCGGGGATGTTTAACGCTGGGGAAAAAAGGCAGAGAGTGGGATGGGCACAAGGGCAGAGGGAGACGGGTCTTGAAACCAGGGGCCAAAGAAAGGCTTCCTCACCTGTTGTGCCCCCATCACCGGGCCTCTGGGAGACCCAAGGACAGAAATTCAATAGTCCTTCTTCTCAGGGAGTCAGAACGTTCTGGGGGAGGGGATGACAACATCCATGCAGGAGTAGATGCAGAATACATGAGACGGTAATAAAGGCAGGTAATCAGGGCAGGCAGCAGGGATCAGGCTTCTGTGCTGCAGGCAGATCTTAAACTGTACTTTGAAAGAAGCCAGGGATCCTGAGAGGCAAGAGTGAGAAGAGGGGATTCCAGGCACGGCACACAGCCTGTGCAAAGGCCCAGAGGTGGGAGAGCAGGGAGGCCCCGCTCAGGATGGCGTTGAGGGAGGGAAGCTGGACAGGAGAGATACTGTGGAGAAAGAAGCGTTAGGACCTGCCTTCCAATGAGATGGGGCAGTGTGGAAAGAGTGAACTGGGGATTACTCTACAACCTAGACGACTGGAAGGACTTCAGCAGAAACAGGAGAGGGTTTATGGGCAAGGAGGGGACATTCTGAGTTTGGAATGCCTCTGGGACATCCTCGTGGAGATGTCCAGCAGACAGCACTGACACAAACCAATAACGAGGTCAAGAGCTGTTTCCTAAATAGTTAGTAGTCAAAGGGTGTGAACAGATACTTTTTCTTTAGGCAATTGGAGTTAAGTGACTTGCCCAGGGTCTCACAGCTAGTGTCAAGTGTTTGGTCTGAGGCCGGATTTGAACTCAAGTTGTCCTGACTTAAAGAAAAGTTTCAAGTTACCAATGAGTACATGATAAAATATCCCAAATCACCAATAAGAAAAAAATACAAACCTGAGTTCCACTGAACACCCATCCAACTGGGACAGTGGACAATGGGTGGGAGCCATCAAAGATGGTGGATGGTGGACAGTCAGTGGAAATAATTAAAGATGGCAGACAATCAGTAGGAAAGATGGTAGATGGTGGAGGATAATGGGTGGGAACAATCAAAGAGGAAGGTGGTAGGAAGGTAGGCACACACTGTTGGTGGAGGTGTGAAGTAGTCCAACCATTCAGAAACAGACTGGGGCAGGAATCTGAAGAATTCAGAGATTTGTATGAAAAGGCATGGACAAAGTACTGAACTCGGAGGTTGGAAGACCCGAGTCTGGTTTCTGGTTTTGCTGAATGCACCTGTGTGATCTCAGGCAGGTCATTTTGTGAACTCTCTGTGCCTCGTTTCCTCATTTTTTTTTTTTGTGTGTGTGTGAGGCAACTGGGGTGTAGTGACTTGCCCAGAGTCACACAGCTAGTGAGTGTTATGTGTCTGAGGCCAGATTTGAACTCAGGTCCTCTTGATTCTAGGGTGGGTGCTCTATCCACTACACCACCTAGCTGCCCCGGTTTCCTCATCTGTCAAACGAGAGGGCTAGACTAAGGTCCCGATCCCATGATCCCATGAGGCAGAGTATGGACCAGGATCCTAAGAATACAAATGAAAGGAATGTGACCTTGTTAAAATGTAAGCAATGCTTGGAAAAATCCAAAGTAATGCAAGCTCCCAGATTATCACACAAGCCTTTCTTCGTTTCCACTGCAGCGTGTGTGTGTTTATGATTATGTACATAATAAAAATGAAATGTAATTAAAAATGTTAGAAGGAAGCCAAACTTTGCGTAATCATCATAATCAATCTTGGTCTCGGAGAACAGAGAACGAAACATTCCTGCCTCCTGACAGAGGAAGGGTTTATGGGGCAGAATGCCACATGCATTGTCCCACATAACTGCTGTTTTTCCTTTGTCACAAGAGAGGGTTCAAGGGAGGCTTTGGTCCCCCATATCTGGAAACAACTGTGAGGCAAATGCAAAAAGAATCAAGAAAACTGGTTTTTAACAATGTAAATGTATTCATATGACTCTTGGTTGGCGGATCTAAGACATTTCAAAGCCCTTCTTGTGTTTGGGACCCAGGGAAAGCAGCAGGTACTTATTAAGCACCCACTCCATGCCAGGCACTGCTGTTTTTCCTGGTGACCAGAGGATCAGACTTCCCTTAGTACAGGAGCAGGAGGGAGGTGTTATTTGTCCTTTGTTCTCAAAGAGGACCAAATGACCCCAGGAGGTGATGTCCTGAATTAAGTGAGGCAGGGCTGTGCAGAGTCACCAGCCTCACTTTCTCCTCCGGAGCCATCTGGGTCCAGTGGCCAGACATGGATCAGGATGCCTGGAGATGGCCCAGGACGCAGGGGGGACCTTGGCCCTTTCAAGCTAAGATCTTTCCCAGGTCTCAGTTTGACTGAGGCAAGGCCCATTCAGTGATTAAAGGCTAGGTATCAAATGATGCAAAAAGAACGGCTTCTTTTACCTAGTCAAAAAAAAAATCAGTCTTGCAAAGGAAGAGCCTCAGGGTGTCTGGCCAGGACAGAAACAACTGCTATTTATATTCCCCCTGAGCCATCACAACCCGAACAGCGACCCCACGAGACGTGAGTTGGCCAATCAATAAATGCATATTGGCTGACTGCAAAGACACTTCTTAGCCCCATTTTTCATGAGGTACCCTGCTCAGGGCCTTCTCCAGCCTACTCTGTACAGCCTTCCTCCCCCCAGGAAATTCCTCCAGGGGAAATCTCCTGTGGTCAGAATGAATGGCCCTCAGCAGCCTCTGCCCCCCTGGCTGGGGGAGGTCCAGAGGCTCCAGGGCCTCCATTTTAAGGAGGGAGCAGCACAGTCTTCTCCCCATTTCCCACCAGCTAAGCCCCATTACCTTCCCCATCAGGTGGTAGAATCCTTGAGGACAGGGACAGAACTGTTTTTATTTGTATCCCAAGTGTGAGAGTCAGATAAAGGTTATATTTCCACAGGAAAAGAGAATAATGCAGAGATTTAAAGAACAGTTCCAGGAAGTAGTACACTGGCAGGGCTTAACTGATGAGAAGTAAGGTGATGGCTCCAAAGACTCCAAATTCAAGATAAGGGTCGAGCCAGCTCAGACCAGTTAAGGTCAACCTGAGGACACCTGAAAAATGTTAGTGTGCCTGCTTATTGACCTTCATTACTACTATCTGACACACCCCGAATAAAATTAGACTCTCATTAATGAGTCATGGGATGTATGACCAAGGGAGGGGGAAGATACTTGAGCATATCAAGGGGAAACATGTAAGCAGGAGTGTAACCCCGGAAGAGATGGACCAATCCGGGCCTGGGAGGTTTCAGGCTGAATTTGAATGCATAAAAGCATGCTCGCCCTTGCACTTGGGGCCCATTCCTCCCAAAGAGGGGTGGAGCCGGCTTCTGGCCAGAAACGTCTAATCCTCTGGACTTTCTCTGTAATAAACTTTCTTGATACTAAATTTTAGGTGTCAAGCACATTTCCAACACCAAGCCCAGCCAGACTGAAGTAGGCATGCAAGTAGATAGGTTCACCCCTCCCACCCCTCACTCACCAGCAATATAATCAATCTTTTTCTTGTGATTTTCTTTTAAGTGATCAGCCAAAAGTTCAATGGAAGCCCTGAAGGCATCTGGGTCCTTTAGCAAAGGAGTGATGTCCCTAGGATGGAAAGAATGGGGATTGGTAACCGTGTGCCCATGAAATTGAGGCACAACACCCAGGCAGCCCAGACAAAGAGGCCTCCCAGGCCCTGGCCCCCCGAAGAGACTTGGAAGGACACCCAGGAAGAATGCCCCCTGGCCTCTGAAGAGCCCTGGCAAAGCAGGACTTCATGGACTCCTCCCAAGCCCCCCCAAGGTGAGCAGGCGGAGATCATTATTCCATCTTACAGAGGGGTAGCCTTTGCTCAAGGTCACAGGCTACAGCACCAGGCCTAAACCTGCTTACCACCAACACAGGTGTTTCCAGCACTCCATGGGTGCACTTTGGACATCATCAGTGACCCACTTTGTTGATTCATCTAACAAGGGTCAAGACTTAAATGAGCAGTTATTGTGTCCTGGTGGGGGGAAGAGGAATGCAAAGACAAGTCAAAGTATCCCTGCCCTCTGGAAGCTGCAGTCTCACAGGGATGATTAGCACAGGTACAAAGAGGCAGCTGTTTAGCTGGTGGTGATTCTAAGGTCTCCCCAACATGTCCCTCTGGGACCTGAGGGCTGCCAGGGGCACCAGCAGGGCAGGGGTCCTCCATCTACGGGAAAGGCACCATGCCTCTGAACAACTTTGCACAAACAAGTCAGAGACAGGATAACAGAGAGAATCAACAGTGGGGAAGCCTGGCATTAAGGGGGATCAGGAAAGGCTTCCAGGAGAAGGTTGGCCCACAGCTGGGGAAAGACAGATCTAGGCAGTTGTAAGCCACTGACACAACTAACTAAAAGGAGATCCTCAAAGGTGGGACGCTCATCTTCCTTAACTATCAGACAGGTTGGGTGGATGAGCTAAGGTCCCTTTTATCCCCAAACCTTGGACGCTGTGATTTACACTTGGGGGAGGGGAGGTGGGGCAGGGGTCAAGGGTCAGGCTAATGCTGGACACTCACTCAGTGAGGGCTCTGCCCAAGCTAAGGTCAGGGAACCTCTGAAGGGTAAAGGGCACTACGGGTACAAGAGAGGAGACCAGTTTGGGGAAGTGTAAATGACGGGCTAGGCAGGAGCACAGAAAGGGAGGGGGCTGGGGTCAGGCCAGAGGGCAGAGACCCCGCGGGACGGCTGGAGCACCCCGGGGCCACTCCCCTCGGGTCAGCTGCACCGGCAGGCTCGCTCACTCGCACGCACGGCTGCGGGCAGAGGCGACTGCGGGGTGGGCTCCACAGCCCCCCGGGACCCCTGGTCCAGCCATGTCGGCCTGTGGGGGTGGAGGGGGGGGGGAGGGAGGGCCAGGGGGCGAGGTGACCGCGGTCACTCAGGAAGCAAGTGAGCAGCAGCACGATGGGCGGAGCGGAGCACACCAGGAGGCTCCGCGGGGGGGCACTGCCAAGGACCCCTCACCCACCCACCCCCGGCTCCAACAGACCCAGCTGGGGATCACGCAGGGAGGCTGGGTTCTAATCCCACTCTTCTGGGTAATGTCTATTTGCCCGTAGGCACGTGACCTCCCCTCTCTGGACCTCAGTTTCCCCCTCTGTAAACTTAAAACCTGTGAAATCAGCCGAGGGAGTAGAGGGCTGGGGGGCTTCTGGGAGGCGAGGTTCCGGGTTCGAATCCCCACGGCGCAGCACCGAGCGGGTCACTCCCGGCGATGCCTTCCCCCAGCCCGGACCCTCCAACCCCGCCGCCCCCGTCCCCGTCCCCACCCCCAGCCCCCAGCCCTCACCGGAATAGGATGCCGGGTTTGGGGAAGTCGGGGAAGCTCCGTACCCGCCGGGCCACGAGCGTCAGCTGGGACTCCGCCATGCCGGCTCCTCGTGCTGGCGCTGACTGCGCAGGCGCGGGAAAGGGCGGGGGGGGGGGGGGAGAGGGGAGGAGGCCCCGCCCCCTGCCCGGCTTGCGTACGTGTCCCCTTCTCCGCCGAGGCCTAGGCGGCTTCCGAATGTTCGGTCTTTGGCGGCTAGGTGGCGCTGTGGTCTACCGCCGCGCTGGGACTGCCCCTGGGACGGGCGCTTCCTTCTCCCAGTCCCAGGCTCCCATCTGTAAAATGGGACAATAATAACACTATCAATAAATAAAAATATTATAGCTAGCATTACATAGCGCCTACTGTTTGTCCGGAGCTTTAATAACAGCACCTACTGTGTTCCAGGCACTATAATAATAACTAGCATTTATATAGCACCTACTGTGTGATGGGAACTATAGTGTTAATATTGTTATATATGTTATATATAATAATATAATATTATTACTATGTGCCAGGTTCTTTCATAATATACATAATAACAGCTAATTTTATGTAGCACCTACTGTGTGACAGGAACGATAATAATTATATTACCTAGCATTTACATAGCACCTACTATGTTCAGGAGCTTAAATAATAACAGCTAGCATTTAAAAGCACCTACTTTGTGACAGGCACTTTAATAACCATAGCTAGCATTTATATTGCACCTAGTATGTACCAAGCGCTTCAATAATAATGATGATGATAACAACTAACATTTATGTACTCTGTGTCAAGCATTTATTGAAATTATCATTTCACCTGATCCTCACAACAACCCTGTGAAGTAGGTACTATTATTCTATTTTATAGCTGAGGAAACTGAGGAAGTGACTTACCCAGGGTCACTCAACCAGTAAGTGTCTGAGGCCCCTAGCAAAGTCGTTTGCTAACATATTTTGGAGAACCTTTAATGAGCCGTGTAAATGGTAGCCATGGTTGTGACGGGAGATGCGCAATAAAGACTCGGTGAAATGGATTGCTGGATCTAGTCTCCATACCTTTGCTTTGCAGAGGAGGAAACTGAGGCCCCCTTGCCCGAGGGCACACACACAGTTGATAAGCAGAAGAGCCAGGGTGAATGAATTCCAGGTTCTTTCTGTACTGACTCTGTTCAGCAAGGACAAAGCTTCAACAAAGTTACGGGGCACCTCCCATGTCCTTGGCCCTTTTGGGGGAGATAAAGGTGACTATTAAATGAACCTTGCACTCTTAAGGGAGTAGGGAGGATTAAGATATGTCCAGAAAGAGCTTTGTCTTCCTTGTAAAGGGAGCTCAGATCTCCCCTGGCTGCAGGTACCAGGGAAAGCTTCTTGGAGGAAGGGGGATTTGAAGGCTCCATAGATGAGACTAGCAGCATTCCAGGTAGAGGGAAAAGAGGTAAAGGTGAATTAGGAAGCACAGAGTGTGTTTAGGGGAATGGTGCCTTGTAGACTTTGTCTGGAGCATAGAGTACACAGAAGGAGATAAGGCTAGGTTCAGGAATGTGGCCCTGCAGGGCCTCCACAATCAGGAGTGGGGAACCTGCAGCCTCGAGGTCACGTGGCCTTCTAGGTCTTTGGGTGCAGCCTTTTGACTGAGTCAAGTGTGACAGAACAAATTCTTTTATTAAAAGGAACTTGCAAAGTTTAGATTCAGTCAAAGGGCCGCACTTGAGGACCTAGAGGGTCACATGTGGCCTCGAGGCTGCAGGGTCCCCACCCCTGAACCCTTGGAGAGGATTCTTTCTGCTCCACGCTGGCAACCCTATTTTCTTTGACTCAAACATTTATTAATCACCTACTATGTTACTATCTATGTGACCTTGGGCAAACTACCGAATCTTCCCTGGCACCCATTTCCTCAACTATAAAATGGGAAGTGAGAGGGGTGGGCCAGATGGCCTACTGAGGTCCCTCCCAACCCAAAATCTGGGGTCTCGCGCTACCATAGGTGCTGTCAAAAATCAAATGATCCCAGCCTTCCAGGAGCTGACATTCTACTTGGGGCATGAGGGAGGGGGGAGAAAGCCAGCATGTACACAGAGAATTACATTCAAAGTAATTGCTGCAAAAGGAGGGTACTAAGAGCTGGGAAGGACAGGAGGGATCTAGGCCAAATCTTGAAGGAAGCTGGATTCTAAGAGGCAGAGTTACAGGGAGAGGGGAAAGAATGGCCTGCCCAAAGACATGAAGACAGATGGCGGGTCCAGGTTAGCCAGAGGCCGGCGAGTTCATAAAGGGAAATAATGAGAGTTAAGCTCGAGAGGGCCTTAAAAGCTGGGTTGAGTGGTTCCCTCTGAAATCCCTGTTCAATTTTAATAGTATTTTATTTCCCCCCTCCCCAATCCCATGTGAAGACAATTTTTAGATTTTAAGTTCCAGATTTTTCTCCCTCTCTCCTCTCCCCTCTTCCTAAAATGGTAGGCAATTTGATACAGGTTATACATGTGCTATCATGTAAACAACATATTTCCATATTAGTCACAATTGTGAAAGAAAAAACAGATCAAAAGGGAAAAAAACACAAAAAAGAATGAAGTAAGTGAAAAATATGCTTCATCTGCATTCAGAATTCATCAGTTCTTTACCTGGACGTGGAGAGCATTTTCCTTCACGAGTTCTTTATACTTGTCCTGGATCGTTGTGTTGCTGAGAAAAGCCGAGTTGTTCATAGTTGGTCATCACACCATGTTGCTGATACTGCGTAGTGTTTCCCTGGTTCTGCTCACTTCACTTTGCATCAGTTCATACGAGTCTTTTCAGGCTTTTCTGATTTTCTTATTACACCATAGTATTCCATTATATTCATGTACTATAGCTTGTTCAGCCATTCCCCAATTGATGGGCATCCCCTCAATTTCCAATATTTTGCCCCCACAAAAAGGGCTGCTATAAATATTTTTGCAAATGTAGGTCCTTGCCCCTTTTTTTATGATCTCTTTGGGATACAGACCTAGTAGTGGCATTGCTGGATCAAAGGATATGCCCAGTTTGGTTGCTCTTTGGGCATAGTTCCAAATTGCTCTCCAGAATGATTGGATCAGTTCACAACGCCATCAACAATGCATTAGTGTCCCAATTTTCCCACATCCTCTCCAACATTTATTTTATTTTTCTGTCATATTAGCCAACTGGATAAGTGTGAGGTGGTACCTCAGAGTTGTTTTAATTGGCATTTTCCTAATAAAAAATGATTTAGAGCACTTCTTCATATGCCTATAGTTTTGATTTCTTCATCTGAAAACTTTCTGTTCATATCCTTTGACCATTTGTCAGTTGGGGAATGGCTTGTATTCTTATAAATTTGACTCAGTTCTCTATATATTTGAGAAATGAGGTCTTTATCAGAGACACTCGCTATAAAAATTGTTCCCCAGATTTCTGCTTTCCTTCTAGTTTTGGTTGCATTGATTTTGTTTGTACAAAAGCTTTTTTTTTAATATAATCAAATATTTATTTCACATTTCATAATGCTCTCTATTGTTTAATCATGAATTCATTCCTTCCCCATAGATGTGACAAGTAGACTATTCCTTGCTCTTCTAATTTGCTTATGGTGTCACCCTTTATGTCTAAATAATGTACCCATTTCGACCTTTTCTTGACACACTGTTGTGCGATGTTGGTCTATACCTAGTTTGTGTCCTCTTGTTTTCTAGTTTTCCTGGCACTTTTTGTCAAATAGTGAGTTCTTATTGTAAAGGCTAGGTAGGGTCTTTTGGCTTATCAAACACTAGGTTACTATGGTCATTGACCACTGTGTCTCATGTACTTAATCTATTCCACTGATCCACCACTCATTCTTGGCCAGTACCAGGGAGTTCTGATGATTACTGCCTTATGATATAGTTTGAGATCTGGTATTGCTAGGCCACCTTCCTTTGTGTTGTTTTTTTCTTTCCCATTAATTTCCTTGATATTCTTGATCTTTTGTTCTTCCTAATAATTTTTTTTATTATTTTTTCTAGCTCTATCAAATAATTTTTTGGTAGTTTGATTAGTATGACACCAAATAAGTAAATCTGTTTAGGCAGAATTGTCATTTTTATTACATTGGCTTGGCCTACCCATGAGTAATGGATATTTTTCCGATTGTTTAGATCTGATTTTATTTGTGTGAAAAGAGTTTAGTAATTGTGTTCACATAGTTCCTAGGTTTGTCTTGGCAGGTAGACTCCTAAGTATTTTATATTGTTTACAGTTATTTTAAATGGAATTTCGCTTTCTTGTTGCTAGGCTTTGTTGGTCATATAAAGAAATGCTGATGATGTAGGTGGGTTTATCTTATATCTTACAACTTTGTTAGTTATTATTTGAAGTAGTTTTTAGTTGATTCTCTAGGGTTCTCTAAGTATATCATCATATCATCTGCAAAGAGTGAAAGTTTTTTTTCCCTCATTACCTATTCTAATTCCTTTGATTCCTTTTTCTTCTCTTATTGCTATATAGCTAGCATTTCTAGTACTATGCTGAATAATAACAATGATAATGGGAATCCTTGCTTTATCCCTGATCTTATTTGGGAAGGCTTCTAGCCTATCCCTATTACAGATAATGCTAGCTGATGGTTTTAGATAGATACTGCTTATCATTTTAAGGAATGCTACTTTTATTTCTAGGCTCTTTATTATTTTTAATAGGAATAGGTGCTGTATTTTGTCCCAAGTTTTTTCAGCATGTATGAGATAATCATATGATTTCTGTTGGTTTTGTTATTGATATGGTCAATTATGTTGGTAGTTTTCCCAATATTGAATGAATCTTGCATTCTTGGTATAAATTCCACCGGGCCATAGTGTATAATTCTTGTGATATATTGCTGTAATTTTGCTAGTATTTTGTTCAAAATTTTTGCATCAATATTCATCAGGGAAATTGGTCTATAATTTTCTTTCTCTGTTTTGGCTCTTTCTGGTTTAGGTATCAGCACCATATTTGTGTACCCTTTGTCTATTTTTCCAAATAGTTTATATAGTACTGGAATGAATTCTTTGAATGTTTGATAGAATTCACTTATGAACCTATATGGCCCTGGGGATATTTTTGTAGGGAG